CTCCCATTTCTGCCTCCTCTTTTAGCCTGGCTAAATCTACACACATTCACACCTGCTGGCAAGCTTGTATATTCTACTTTTTTTTAAGAAGCTCAAAATGTTTCCATTAGAGTTCTTTAATTCCTTGATGGAATTGCTCTCCTAGGGTTTCCCTGTGATCTGGTTCGGAACCATCACAAATAGAAAGGCGATTTTATTTCCCCCCCCCTTCTTGCTAGATTTTCCTGTGAATTCCCCCCTCCCCGTATTATTAGAGCGTCGTTGTTGCCGAAAATGAATTAGTAACAGCGCAATTAGACGAATACCATGCAAATCAACGTGAGCAACTGGAACGGAAAAATTCAAGTTGTAATTAGCTTTTTGCAGCATCTTTTGCCTTGGGACACACGTTTATTTATTCATCCGATTTGCATGCTACCAATTGAATTTCCACTCAGGGCAACGTGTGTACCGCCGCACGCTAAAATTAATATAGTCGCCATTTTTCAGTCTCTTCTTCGTTCCTTTCTCCCCTGCTGACCTTTAAATAATGCAAGGGAAATGGGGGTTATTGAACAATCGGGTCTTAAAACATCTATAAGCATTCCATGTAATCGGTGATAATTTTCAAGGAAAACAGTTTAGTCTGTTTGGAAATTTAAAGACAACAAAGGCAGTTCATGTAGGAGAACACGATCAGGGAGCTTTCCACTGGCATAGAGAGTTCTATCAACAAGTATACAGTGTTATAGAATATTTTGTTTATTCCCCGAACCTCAGCATCCTTATGAAGTTGGGTGTTTTCATACACACTTCTAACACTGGAGTTCTCAAACATTTTGGCCTCTGGACCTCTTTGCCATCTTCAGAATAACTGAGGACTTCAACAAGCTTTGGTTTATAAGGGTTATGTCTCTCACTATTTATTGTATCAGAAATTAAAACTGAAACTTTTAAAATATTTATTTATTTGACTTCATGGACCCCTGAAAAGATCTTGGATCCACTGGGCTTGTCAGGAGTCAAAGGCCAGGTCCATAGGTGAAGGTCCAATTAATCTGATTTATTGTTAAGCAGCCTATCTGCAGGAATCTTCTCAACTAACCGCACCTGCTTAGAGTTAGGGAAGGATCCATAGAATTCAAGGGAATTGGACTCGCTTGTGGCTATTTAGGGATTCTAGGCTAATCCCTCTCTTAACTCTGCCTCCAGGCTCTGCCACTCCTTTTCTTACAAGGAGCTCCCAGACCACAGTTCGAGGCCTGTTGTTTTAATCAAAGACAATATCAGTATTTGCAATTATGTTTGCTGTTCTGTTCTATCCCCCCCCCTCCAGTATTCAGCTGCACCATGCCAGATTGGAGGTTAAGGTTAATACAATGGATGTTCACCCAATCTCATAAAATACAAAAGACTGTTTCAGCCTCATCTCACGTTATGTGAGGGGTGTCAAACTCAATTTCATTGAGGGCCGCATCAGCATTGTGGTTGTCCTCGGGGGGGGGGGGGCTGGGTAGGTGTGGCCAGGGTGGGCACGGCCTACTGGGTGGCCGTGGCTGGAGTGGGTGTGGCCTACTAGGTGGGCATGGCCAACTCTTCATCGTTCACATCAAGGGTGCCTGTGGGGGCCTGGGCAGGAGTGGGACAGATCTGAGGGTCTCTGGCAGAAGGGAGTGGGACCAGGACAAGCGCCAAGGCATGGTCCACTGGAAGAGTAGGTGAGGGCCATTTGCTGGCCACTTCCAGGCGATGGTGCATTTCTTCATTCCTCACAAAGGGCGACACCTCCCCAGCATGCACCCAGGGGGCAGGGCCGACACAGCAGGGGCTGGTTCCTCGCTGTTTCCAGACGGCCTTGTGGAGCTAAGACTGAATGCGTTTCAGCATAGATGGCCACCACAAAATTGTACATTGGCTCCCTCCCAGCCGTCCTGGGCCAGGGCCAAGGCAGCAGGGGCCGTTCCCTCACTGTTTCCAGGATGGCTTCGCAGGCCACATGAAACCACGTCGCGGGCCCCCGGGCCTTGTGTCTGACATGTCTGCGTTATGTGAACTGTGCCTTTGGTGAAAATGGACTGCAATGGGTGTCCTCCTAGGTGCAACAGAACCCCAAAGAATTGAATCTTTGGATCAGAACAGAGTTGGTCTGAAACCCGATGGATTCCTTAATAGCAGCCCTCTTCTTCCTGTAGAACACCAGTGTGAGTAATTTCCCACCTACTGAAACCAAGGATGGGTTATTGTTTTGGAGAGAAAGGAATATGAAAGGAAATTCAGCTTCCCACTCAAAAAACAAGAGCTTTTAGGAAGGAAGGAACATTAGAAAGGGAGGGGAAGAGAGTCTCTCTTACAGCCACTTTGATAGTAATTATTTGTACATTTCTTGATCACACTGGCTCTCGGGAGATGCTGCATATCTGTATTTATTTTTTTTCCCTACTCAAGCATTTCAATTCATTTCCTTCCAGCAGAGTTGTTTATGCATCCCATAGAGATAACATTGTTACAAAAGAGAGAAAAAGTCTTTGGTTGTTTAATAAAGCCAATAAGTATTGTCATATTTTGCAAGTCTTGTTTATTAAATAAAAGTCAAGTGAGCATGCTAAATTTTTGATCTCCAGTTGAGCTAAAGCAATAAAAGATTGCTCCAAGGCAACCTTTTCCAGAAAAAAAAACAACCCACCTATTTGAAGAGCTGGAAGGAACAAAAAGTGGCATACAATCAGTGGTGGGATTCAGCCAGTTTGGCAAAACCGGTAGCTAATTTTTGGTTGCCCAGGCCCAGAATGGACTTCTGGAAGCGGCATCTACACAGAGAACGGGTTGTTCACCTATTTGAATCCCACCACTGCATGCAATGTTTGGAAAAAGATTGTGCGAATAGTCAGTTCTGAGGAAATGTTCAGTTCACAAGCAAGCTGGACGAAAGATAAATTCAATGGTGGTGTTGGATACAATCAATCAATCAGAATAGAACTGGAAGGGACCTTAGAGGTCTTCTAGTCCAACCTCCTGCTCAAGGAGGAGACCCTACAACATTTCAGACAAATGACTTGTCCTCTAGCCTCTTCTTAAAAATCTCCAGTGATGGAACGCCCACGATTTCTGGAGGCAAGCTGTTCCACTGCTTAATTGTCCTCACTGTTAGGAAGTTTCTCCTTAATTCCAGGTTGTTTCTCTCCTTGATAAGTTTCTATCCGTTGTTTCTCATCTTGCCTTCTGGTGCCTTGGAAAATAAGTTGACCCTCTTCTTCTTTGTGGCAACCCCTCAAGTATTGGAACACTGCCGACCCATCGACACAGACAGCTCTGATCAGGAATAGATACGGTGCTTTCCAAATAACATTTGATGATTTGACACTGAATCAGATTGATTGAATTGGTTTGAAGGGTTGAGCCAAATCGGATCCAAGGTTTCAATTTACGGTGATTCATCTGCTTGGATTTTGCTGGATTAGGCTTAATATTTCGCTCTCCTGCTAAAAAAAATTATTGCAAATGGCAAGAGCTAAGTAAGGGCAGTCCTCGCCTTTTGACCACAGTTGGGATCAAGGCAGTTATTAAGTGATTTTACATTTTTTTCTTTTGACATGGTTATTGAGTGGATCACTGCAGTTGTTACATGAATCATGTGTTGGCTTCCCCATTGAGTTTTCTTGTTGGAAACCAGCTAGGAAAGTCACAAACGGGGATCATGTGACCCTGTAGCCATTGTAAATAACATGTTGCCAAGTGCCAAAATTTTGATGCCATGATTATGGGGATATTGCGACGGTCATTAGTGTGTGGATTGGTCACGGGTCACTTTTTCCAGCGCCACTGTAGTGTCAAAACGGTCGATAAATGGAATGGTTGCAAGTTGGGAACCTCCTGGAGTTCAAAAGTAGATCGTGTTGGATTGTGCAATCACATCCGGAAATATCTCTCTTGTGTCTCTTGAATCCTAACACAAACTTTGTTCTCTTTCTTCCTCTCTGTTGTTGTTTTTTTTTCTCTCTCTCCAGCTACTTCCAACTTAGATCTGGATGTGAAGAGGCCTACCCCACCCAAGCTGTTATGGCATCAACCCGTCAACATATTTTTGGCTCGACCTGTTGGTGTGGAGGACTTGCACCATGAAGCTGAGCTCAATCTCCAAAGTTTGCTGCAAGGTACTGAATCAATTATCTATCTGTCTGTCTGTCTGTCTGTCTGTCTGTCTACCTATCATCTCTCATATCTGTCTGTCTGTCTGTCTGTCTGTCTGTCTGTCTGTCTGTCTGTCTGTCTGTCTATCTGTCTATCTATCTCACCTCTCTCTCTATCTATCTATCATCTCTATCTCTATCATCTCTATCATCTATCTATCTATATCATCTCTATCTATCATCTTTCATCTGTCTGTGTCTATCTATTTATCTATCTTTCATCTATCTGTGCCTGTCTGTCTGTCTGTCTGTCTGTCTATCTATCTATCTATCATCTATCTATCTATCTATCTATCTATCTATCTATCTATCTATCTATCTATCTATCTATCTATCTATCATCTTTCATCTATCTGTATCTATTTATCAATCTTTCATCTATCTGTATCTATTTATCAATCTTTCAATCTATCTGTGTCTATCTATCTATCTATCTATCTATCTATCTATCTATCTATCTATCTATCTATCTATCTATCTATCTATCTATCTCTTACAGGTTGGGTGTGGTTTTTCCCCTCTTCCTTTCTTCATCAAGCAAAATCCAGTCCTCCACGAACCAGTGTTATTATCTCAGAAGACGCCATTTTGGGGAGGCGGAAAAAAAATAGGTGTTTTGTAATATCACATTTTGGGAAGGAGGGTAAAAAAAAATAGCTAGTCGCCCCTTTGCAAAATCCAAACAACATAACATAAAGGACTCCAAACTTCCAAATTTTACAGAGCTCCTCATCGGATAAGCAGTTATAGTTTTAAAAGAGAAGGTATGGTATGTGGAAGAAGTCAAGGCCATTTTGAAAAGATTGTGAGTCAGCATTATGGATTGAAAAACATTTAAAGAGGAAACGAAAGTGCCCTTGCCCAAGGATAGGTGAAGAATGGATTGTGTACAAATTATTCTAACTCACTCCCTTCCTCCCTCCCTCCCTCCCTCCCTCCCTCCCTTCCTTCCTTCCTTCCTTCCTTCCTTCCTTCCAGAAGAATATGAGGAGCCATATTCTGATGCCAAGATCAGTGGCCAAACTTTCCGCTATGCCAGCTCTCCTTCAGTGGACAGGCATCTCGAGTGCAGCCCTCGCCCTCCACCCAACAAACGCATGGAATTCGTCTTCATGGTGAGTCTGGTACTTTGTAGCTTGCTAAGGGAAATATTGCCGCTGGTGGGCTTAGCTGATTCTTTCCCCCATCAATGCCACTTTCTGACAGCCTACAAGCCAGCAAGTGAAGGAGAATGAAACGACGAGCCTGGGGGTAAGAGTGCTGGAGCCTTCGCTTAGCTTGCCTGCTACCCCAGACAGACACACCGCCTGGAGCCAGGGATCCCCTCTGCCTGCTCTGGAGGAAAAGAGATTACAACAGCCCTGTTCCACCCAAGCAAACATCATCCCCATCAACGTCTCAGGTAGAATAGATCGTGTGTGTGTGTGTGTGTGTGTGTGCTTGTGTGTGTAAGGGCAGTTTCTTATAATGAAATGATGGAAGGATTGCAAGGAAAAGTATCTGAGCTCAGCGTGTTAGTTCAGGAGAGAGAAAAGTGCAAGAGGCATTGAAGCTTTGCATCTGGACTTCTGTGCATGCAAATGTGCAACTAGATGCTGAGACTCTAGAAAGAGTGCAGAGAAGAGCAACAAAGATGATCAGGGGCTGGAGGCTAAAACATATGAGGAACAGTTGCTGGAATTGGGTACGTCTAGTTTAACGAAGAGAAGGACGAGGGGGGACATGATAGCAGCGTTCCAGCATCTCAGGGGCTGCCCCAAAGAAGAGGGAGTCAAGCTATTCTTCAAAGTGCCTGAAGGCAGGACAAGAAGCAACGGATGGAAACTAACCAAGGAGAGAAGCAACCTAGAACTAAGGAGAAACTTCCTGACAGTTAGAACAATTAACCAGTGGAACAACCTGCCTCCAGAAGCGGTGAATGCTCCAACACTGGAAGTTATTAAGAAGAGACTGGACAGCAATTTGTC